GATGGCGCTACAGTTGTGCTAAACTCAGTGTGCTCATTCATCTTGCACTGTGCAAAGAGGCAGATATTCACATATTCTTCTCTTTTTCTTGCACGTGTATTTGCCACAAAAAGTTACTAACATGTTTTCCAGATGCTGATGATTGCCCCTGGTTAGTGTTGTACGAGATACATAAAATCTGTCAGAACCTTTTTTTTTTTTCTCCTTTTCTACTGTAACTTTTTGCAAATGGGATAATTACTGCTCATTGTTATTATAAGTCCAGTAAAGTTCTGATGTGTGTTTTGTTTCATTTACTAAGTGTTGCAATGCTGTACATTATTCATGAAAAATAGAGTAGCAATGTCACTTTACATAATGCTGTATTATTATAGGCTACTTCAGCTTCAGTGATAGAACTTCTTTCTTTTAGTGAATTTTGCCAGATAGCAAGTGGTATCCAGTATGACTTCACTACAGTTATGTAATACTTTAAATGTTAAGTCTTAGATCAATCTTTTTTACTGTGTTCCACTGAGAATATATATGTGCCCAATGGCTGAGCCTTTAATACTGTGAATCCTTTTTGAGGAGGCATTTTAACTGTACCTCTATCCTGTTACTGTATATTTTCCGCTACCCATGTCCATTGCTTGTGCCCATTCCTCCCTCCTTTCTCCCTCTGTTCACTTAGTTTTCTGATCTTTCTTCCTCACTTAAAGCCTAGCTCATGAGGTGTGTGTGCTTCTCTGACCTTCCCACCTCATCACATCACTTCTGTGGCTTCATGACGCAGCTTTGGGTTCCCCAAACCATCAGGAACCGCAGGCGCACAGCCAGGCAGGCTTTCCTCTCCTGGGACTTAGCATGCCTCCCCGTACAGCTTAGCTCCACAGTCAGTTAGCTTTCTTGTTACTAGTAGCTCAGGATAGTCAACCAAGCTTTATAGCTTAGAACAACAATATAAAAGTATATGCCTAATTCTTTTGTTGTACTTTAAAATGTTTTATAAGGTTTTAAAGCTGTAGTGTATTGTACCTCATGGAACAACGAGTTTGACTTACTTATGTAAGTGTAATGTTTGGTTTGGCATATGTGATCTGAATGTCCAAAAGGAAGAGGCAGCTCCATAAAAGATCATCAGTCAAGACAGAAAAAATCAGGGCAGAATGCCATGCTGACTATAAATTAAAAAAAAAAAAAAAAAAACAACCAAAAAACAAAAACCAAAAACAAACCAAAAACAACTACTCAAATTGCAAGCTTAATGTAGAGGTGTGGTTACTGAAGATATTAAATAGCCAGCTGTGATTTCACTTGGTTGCTTTCATTAGGAAATTAATTCACATCTGAAACTGTATTCCTATTACTTAACCGTTGTGATCATATCTTCTATTCCTGCATTTCCAACTAACTCATTCTTGCTTTTTTTTTTAAATTGAATTTTCTATTCCCTGACTTTTTTTACTGCTTTTACCTACAGCATCTGATTTCTTCCAGCATTTTTTTACCTGAAGAGCTAGTGTTCTTTGTTACTATTTAACTTGTTTCATGGTAAGCTTTTATTTTTTCCCATTAAATATTTTAACTAATGAGATTAAATCTTCAGACATTTCTTTCCTTCATGTTGCTGTTATATGCTTAAGTTAATTCCACAGTGCTGCCAAGACTCTGTCATTTAAGAAAAGCTTTAAGCAAATATTACAAGTTTCTCATTCCAGCTAATTTGCTGGTTGTATTTAATTGATGATTTATCAATTGGAGAGAAAATAAAACTTTTGTAAAAAGGATCACTGACAGATTAAAAACCCTGAAGCATATTAGATGACTTTTTATAGGGTTGTAGGAAACTAAAACCGAAGTGTTGGATGTGAAACTGACTTAAAATCTAAGGATTTTTATAAAGGTCTGTCTTTGGAGGAGTTGAAGTTCGAAATTTTTGTGGGTGGGTAGTTGGTTTGTATTTTAAACATGCTGTTTGAAAGCCTCAGGAAAGCTTAGAACAGCAGAGACCAATTCAGTGTGCTGAAATTCAGTTGTTGGAGAGGGGTTATGCAGACCAAACTTTGGACAGTATATAACCTAATCGTGCCTGGGAAGGAAATCTGAACTTTTGTTTACAGTAATGCTTTCCCATGCTCGGAACTTAAAGAAGATACTTCTACATGAATGTCAGATCAGTCCATTCATGGGTTATTTGAAGTAGTGAAGTAGGTCAACTTGCCAAGGCTGGGCATTCACGGAATGAACAGCTAGATATATCTTCAGCTGACTTTGAAAAGGAGTTACTGTATTTAACGGTATGTCCTGGATAAGGTCTTGGGGAAAAAAGCTATAGACAAGAATAATGACTTAAAGTTTTTATCAATTCATGGGTTTTTTTGGTGGTAGCAGTCACCCCAGAAAATAGATTAAAAAAAAATCTGCTTTATTTGGAGAGGACAATAAAGGCACTCTAACTTAGCCCAGTATTTTTTTAGATATGCGTATTTCTAAACTTTCTGGGCTTTTTTCAGTGTTTTGGGTATTTTTTTCTCTTTATTATCCCTGTGATATACCTTTTCCCGTGTTTTCTTTCATATCGCTTCCTTTGCTCCTTTTGCAGCCTCCGTATGTTTTTCTCGCACTATGCTGTATTTTCTACTTCCTTTTCTTCACACTCTGCTGTGCCTCTCAGCTTCAGTGCATACACTTCTGTCGTCTTCAGCTGTTTCTTTTTGTCTCTTCCAGATATGCTTTCACTCCTAAGCACTTGCATGGATATCTTGGATTCCTTCAGAAGTTGAATGGCCCCAAGGAGAGGAAAAACTTGGCCTTAAGAAAGAAGCCAACTCCGTTCTTCCTGAAGCCCAAGAACAGTGGACAGTGCTTTCATTTGCATCCTCCTCCTGCTGTCAGTCACTGTTGGTCTTTGCTGGAACTGACGTTTGCCTGTCTCCTCGTCTCTGAGCATCCTTTGGCATGTGGGAGGTACCTCACTTATCCTGGGTGTTACTTTGTATGCGTAACACAGCTCTCTCTATACACATGAGAAGTGATGTAATTTGCTCAGAATTGGCAGAGCTCTAAGGGGTGCAGAGATTACTTCCCTCCAGTGTTATCCCATCTCCCACCATCTTCCTAGCCCGCTCTTGCACTTGGAAACTGTCCCCATTGCTGCAGCCGCCTCTTTGGGATTTTGGGCTGGGTTTCTTCTGGAACGGTAGGCACAGTGAGAGCTGGGGCAAGGCGATGAGCGAGAGGCGATGCTGTGTCAGAGAGAAAATGCTGTGTTTGGATCCTAAATAAGGGGGTTTTGTGTTCTTGAATATTGGCTCCTGTGACACTGTGTTTCTTGCCTGGTATGCTGCAAATGCAGGTGCCATAGCTGTGCTTTCTGCAATGTGTTAAAGCTACCTACCAGTGTAACAACGGTGGTGAAAGCATGCTAGAATGAGCTTGATATGCATGTAAAAGATTAAGGCACTTATCCAGCTAGTCCATGCACCGTTCCTTCATGCTTGTTGCTACCTGTACTAGTGGAGTCTGGGAGGGTACAGTTACCTGTGGTGTGCCCATGCTGGAAATTAAGCTGTGGCCGTATGCTTTAAGTTCTCATCTCGAGTGATTTCTGTTCTGTCGCTGTTTCAGTTGCTGCTGACAGCATTTTAAAGCAGTAACGCTGTGCAATCAAGCAAGGCTGTGAACAGAAATGGTCAAAAAAAAGAGGACTGTCTCCTTTGCTCCCAGTGTCTGACAAACCTGCAAGCAGCACTGCACGCAACTATCTATCAGGACATGGGAAGAGTTGTGTAGTTCCTTGCATTCTGTTCACATTTTGCATGCTTTCCTGCGTATCCTCAAGCGTTAGACTTCCTTGTCTACATTTTTACCTGAAAAACATAGTTGCAAAGGATGTTTTAATGCAAGAGTAATTAAAAGGTGGTTTTGCTCTCCTAGTATTTTTGTTGGATTTTGTGCTTTCCATACCACTACAATGAACTGTATCCCAGGCCTTGGTTTTTATAATCAATTACGCGTGCTCAACTCAGGCAGATGAGCAATGGCCCTTAAGTTTCATAGGTGAAAAAATTATGGCTTATGTGTGTGCATAAGCATGCTTCAAAACCTATTGAAATTTACCCCAAACTTAGCTACGATATGCAAAAAAACCCCACAAAACAGAGTTACTGAAGGTCACACTGACATCCCTACCAAGGGAGCAACAACTTTCAGTTATAGTCTGAAAATGTTTTTTAAAAGCTGTGACTTATGCATCTGTAATGATTACACTTGCTTTGCAAGGGGGTTGAGCCGCACATCCCCCCGCTCCTCAGCTCTTCTTCAAATCCGGCCCCGGGCGTGAAGGTCAAACGGGGCGACTCTGTGCCCCCCATCCTGACACCTCAGTGCTGCTGTCGGCCTGTCAGCAAGCCCAGCTCCGGCCCTGCGCTGATCGCGACACGGGCACCTTCTCGCACTTGCTGGAGTCCCTGCCGTGGCTTTTTTTTAAGGGAAGCCCCGAGCGCTCCCGGCGCTGTCGCAGGGCGGCGGGAACAGGGCCCGGCCCGGCCCGCTCGCCTCCGGCTTCGCGGGGGCCACCCGCGCCTCACCCACCCCACGGACGAAGAGCGGGACTGCGGCCGCGGGTGGGCGGCAGCCGGCTCCCGCGGCGTGGCGGTTTATCTCCGTCCCGGGGCAGGCGGGGCGCGTGTCCCCCCCCCCCCCCCAGAAAAAAAAAAACCCTCCACACACTCTCGGCGCGCCGCCAACTTTCCCCTCGGCGCCTGCGCGGGGGGGGTCCCGCACGGCTCCCGAACCAGGGCGGGTGGCGGCGCGCTGCGGCCGGGCGGGCTCTGAGGGGCGGCGGGGCCGGGCCGGGCGCCGCCGCAGTCGGTCGCGCCGGCGGCGTGGTCCCGCCCCCCGCCCGCCCCTCGGCTCCCGCCGGCGGCAGGGGAGGCCGGGCCGGCTGGGCCCACGTGCGCGGCGGGCGGCAGCCGGCGGAGCGGGGCCGCCATGTGTTCCGGCGGCCGGGGCAGCGCCTGAGCGGCCGCCGCCCGCCATGCCACGGGGCGGCGCGGGGCTCGACGCGACGCGGCCGCCCCCCGTCCCCTCGCCGCGTCCTCCTCCATGAGCGCCTCGGCGGCGGCCCCCGTCAGGCTGATGCCCGGCGGGCAGCCGGAGCAGGCGGCCGCCGCCGCGCCGCCCGCCGCACTCCTCTGCGCCCCCGCCGCGGGCCCGGCGCCCTCCGCCGCCGCCCCGCCGCCGCCGCGCCCCGTGGGGACTCTGGTGGCGCGGGTGGCCGTCCCCGGGGCCCCGCGGCCGGTGGCGCCCAAGGGGCCGCCCGCCGCCACCCTCCAGTTACCGGCCAACTTCCAGCTGCCCCCGGGTGAGTGAGCGGGGCGGCCGCCCTCGCGGGCTGCCTCCCGTGTCGCGACTTGGCGCGCGGCGTGTCGCGCTCCCCTGCCCTTGCTGCTGCGGGGCGGGGGAGGACGAGCCGCCGCGAAGGGCGGGCAGGGCGGCGAGGGGAACGCGGGGGCGCCGAAAGTTTTGGGGCGGGTTGCTGTTCTGCCCTGGGCTTCTGGGAACTGGGGGTGTTTGTCTTGGGAACGAACCTGGGCGAAGTCGGTTAGCGCTGGGGATGCTGACAGCCTCTGGGATGCTTGTGGAGCGTCTGGAGGACGGATCTGGAAGCCTCTGGATTAAGGCATGTTTTTGCTCTGCCGGCTAGCAGGAGGAGGACTAACCAATAAACCTCCGTGGCCAAGTTACCTTGATTTGTGACTTGAAAAAGACCGATGGAGGCTTTCGTGGAACTTGGATGAACGAGTAACGCGGGGAAGCGTGAGCGTGGGTTACCGGCTGCGAAGTAACTCCCACTTACAGTGCAAGTCATACTGCTGCTCTTACTCCCCCTCCGAGCAAGCTGTTCCAGAGGAATTGTTTTCACTGTTAAAACCAGGCCGAGGGGAACCGTTATTGAAACAAAATATTGTCCTGCATAAGGAGCGTAATGTTGAAATTTCATTGCGTGTTGCCCTTTGAAGCGCTTTTTTTCTCTAAAGCGCGTGTGGGAGACGAAGAGTTTAGAGAGGTACCACGCTTACAGAATATATTAGTGAAGTACTTGTGTGGTGCTGATAAAGATGGTTTAATACTTTGGGTCAGGTCCTACCTGCACTTTCTCACAAGAAGAAGAAGGTGCTGTTGATTCTAAACTTCCCGCTCTTCCCTGGCAGGCTGTATTTAAATGCTTTTTAAAAAAGAAAGTGACTTTGATTCCGTTGGCGTTGGTATCGCTATAGTGAGACCCCAAGATATGTAATCACTTATGGCTATTGTTGCTATAAATATTTCCTGCCAGGACAGTTCCTTTGTTGGAGCATCTATTGCTATTACGTTCAGATAGGATGTTGCCTAAAATGATGACTGGTTTTACATTAATTCCTGTGCGTCTGGTACATATTTGCATTTTTTTCTGTCTTTCCTCCTTTTTTTTTTTTTTTTTTTCCTTCATGTCTCTATCAAAGTCATGCACCTGTCAAGGAAATACATAATACTAATGTTATTTTTAAAAGATATTGTCTTTAATCACTAAGTTCTACTGTAGATTTCCCAGCACTGACATGATGCTATAATGTCTGGGTAGTTGACAGCCAAGGATGAGTCTAAATCCTTGACAGCTTTCCTCTGAAATGAATCCTGATGGAAATACATATATTTTGTTGTTGTTATAGGGCCCCCCAGATCTTCAGGTTTTCCATGTAATGTTTTGGCTTTCTGGAACGTGTTTGCATTCAGTTAAACATTTTTCTGTGAAGATGAAGGCTCATGCGAGTTGCTTGTAGTTTGGGAGCTACAAGTTAGCAAAACTTTTGCTTTTCCTAGTAGCTTGGCTTTGATTACATCAAGGTATACTGATGAATGTCATCTGACTTGTATCGTGGCAGTAGGCAGGTGTAATAAAAGTAGCATTACCCTTCGGTTGCATCAGCTTGTTTTCCTTGCTCCTGGGACAAGAAACAAAGCAAGCAGATTTTGTATTTGGAAGTTCAGAGGTGCTGGTACGATGCAGTATTGTAAATTAAAAGTAACTGTATGGAGTTTAATGCTTCAAAAGGAGCACAGAAGTTGTCAGATTTCAAATAGATCAATGTTTCAGGGAAACTTGCCTAAATAATCATCCTAAGGATGATCTAAACATGCATTCTGTCTTGCGTGTTACTACTCTACCTCCATCTTCTATGTGAATTCAATTTTTAATGAATAATAAAATAATTCAGAAATCTAAATGTAAGATGAATAGCATTAAAGCTACAAGTGTTGGCATCATTAAAAAAGAAGGTGGAATAAACCACCAAATTCTTAGGCTTGAAAAGCTTGTATTTCAAATACGTTGCTAAACCTGGCCGTACAGGATAAAATACAGAAGGAGAGCGCACTTGGCTTTAAAATCACGGCATTCAACCTGTGGCACCTGCTAGAAAAATGCATACAGAAAAGCATCCTCCCCTTGAGTTTCGAAGGGAGATACTTGAACTGGCTTGTTCTTAGAAAGGCTGGACAGCACTGTCTTTGCTGATCATCCTGAAGTACTCGGTGAACTGCTTGTGGCCTGGGGCAGATGTTGCTCCTGTGCTTCAACAGGACGCGGGGGAAGGAAGGGCACCAGGGGAGCTGTGTTTGCCTCTGTGGCTTGGGGGGCAGCGGCGGTTCATGGAAGCCATGGATTTAGGCTGTTCCTTCTCTTCCGTCTCTACCTCCCCCTCTCTCTTGCCCAGAATAAAGCCAGGAGGTGGGAAAGGCAGATGACCGGGTATGGCTCCTCACTCCTCGGAGCACGGATTATCCCTCTGCCAAGTGCCACTTTACATGGTTGCCCAGGAAGGATCACTGAGCTTTACAAGTTCTTGCTCATCAGTAACAAGGGCTTTTCATCACTTTCCTATGCTTTCCTCTACAAAGTGGCAATTTGCAGCTGAGTAGCCAGCTGTTAGACCAGTGCTGGTACTCAAGGCCTTCCTCTTTCACCTTCAGGGTGTCTCCTGTACTAGCAGTCAGGAGGTGTGAGTCCACCCCTGGCTTATGTCTGGCCACTGCACGCAGTAGGACATCAGTTGGGTTCTCTGTCCTTTATATACCTTCAGCTGGACAGATTCTGCCTTAGGGGTTTGGTTGTGGCATTTTGATCTCACACCAACTCTTAGACTGAATGGTTGGGTTGTGTCTTCTTAAATGGAGGGAATTTGTATGATCTACTGAAGGGAATCTTCTTCAATTGCCCTCTTTGTTGACAAGAACATGTTAGAAGCATTTCAGAAGGTTTTGCATGTAGCAAAGTAGTCTGTGGGACTGGCAGAGAGCAGACCAGCTTGGTGGGTGCAGTACTGTCTCAGTTCTGAACTCTGCTGGTCATGTAATCTGTGCTGATGCTCTCAAAACTGCAAATGTCTTGTGTCGTGGACCATCTGTTTAACAAGGAATCGTGTCCTTGGTTAACTTGAGCCTAATGTTTGGGGGGCGGGGGGAAGATGGTTGGGCTATGCTATTTACAAGAGGGAGTAGTTAAAGACTTGGGAAGGAGTGACAAGGTTTCTGTGGGCAGTGTTGAATGCATATAGCTCACCTTTGTGTTTTGGGGCCCCACACTGCTTTGGGGAAATGGAAGATAGAAAAGAAGCATAAAAATAGCAAGGAAAGCTTTGTTGCCTGGTTTCCTTTCTTCTTTTCTTGAACTTGGTTTTCTGTCATTTCTGTGTGTATCCTTCTGGCTTTCATGCTGTCCCTGGCCCTCAAATGCTCATTACAGGCAGGTGTTGAAAGGACAATCAGCAGCTGTATCTGCTTCTCTTGTGGAGAGGCGAAAAAATACAGAACTTGACTGTATGCTGGGGATTCTCTGTTGATGCCTTAGGAGCTGCTTACAGAAGGAAGCTCTTCAAAAAGCTCACCCAGTGCCTCTGCTACTGGTTACGGGGCTGTGACAGAAGCTGCCAGCACTCCTCTGAACAAGTATGGTGTCAGCAAAGAGATGTTGTCCTGACTCTGCCTTGATTTTCATTAGTAAGCTGGTGCAAGGCACAGCTGCCCCCTGTAAAGGTTCCTTTTCACCTGACTTGCAGGGGAATGGCAGCAGTTACAGGTTCCTGGTTTCTGTTTGCAGCTCAGCTTTCTTGTCTTGGATGTTTTGGCTTGTGCCTGGCAGATTTTCCACTGCTTGTAGTTTATCTAGGCTGATGGTGGGTAACTGCTCAGAAGGCAGGTGGCCAGGGCTGCGTGGCAAGAGGCCGGCTGTCCGCGTGTAGACACCTGTGGGTGGGAGGGGGAGAGCTGATGCAGGTATCCCAAAACTGCTACAGGGTGGTACAGAGCCAGATCTCATCCGGTTTCTTTTAATTGTCTATAGAAACAAAGGTAACACGAAGAGGTAAGGGTTGGTAAATGTCTGGATGCTGCTGTCTACTGCTTTTGATGTTGGCTTACTGCCTCTCAAGTACGGAACTCTGAATCTCCCTGGTCATGTTCTAGTTATTATTTCTCAGTTGTAAAACCACGTGAGGAATTGGATATTTTCATATTTGCATCTGGTCCCTTCACTTTGGAATAGAAGGAAATGCTGATTTTAAAATGCATGTTTGTTTGGGTAGGAGGAGGCTATCCAAAGATTTCTTGTTTCAACAAGACAGAAAACCTAGAAACTCCTTCAAATTCTGCAGTTTCAGGATGTTGATAATCTCATGAAGTCTAAGCATAATACTTGCCCTGTAGAATGACCAGTAGGGGCTAAATAATACACAGTTGCGACCTTTTACATCCCAATAGCGTCCTCTGTTCAACAGGTTTGTCAGGATGGATTGTTTGCAAACTTCTCTCTTCACAATAGGTCATGCCAGTCAACTTTTTTTCTGAGGAGAGGTCAGCAAAGCTTTGACAGACGTGAGGAGTTAAGTCAAACTTAAAAAATAGTGAATAAATGACTTTCGCTGTAACCAGTAGAAATTTCAGCTGTTCTGTATACTTGATTCTGCTTTCAGGACTGAATGTGTCTAGCAAAACAATGCCTTCATATCATTAAATACACAGCCCTGTGGGAATTAAGATTTAAATCTTGGCAGAAGATGGAAATCTAACTTCTAGATTTATGGTTTTCACAGAAAAAACCCAGATGCATTCTAAATACTGAAGCACTGAAATATGATGTTCAGTTAAATTAACGTTAGGTGCTGTTCAGTTTTTACAACCAATTGGAGTATAACACAGAGAATTACAGCTACAGATTGGTGAATAGTAAACTTTTTTTAATCCTTAGAAGAGAGAGAATGTGAGCATGACTTCTGTTGCTTTTGCGGTATTTAAAGGACCCTTCAGCTTGTAGGAGTAAAAAAAGCA